AATGAATTTTGTGGCCGCGCCATGTCCAATAGTTGTACCCCTCTGGCTTAAATGGTAGTTTATCCAGACCTATATTATCAATCATTTGTCAAGTAATTTTAAAACTAAACACACACAGGCACAGATATGCAGAAAATTCCAAGTTACAAATGGGGTAATGGACTTAACCTTTAGAGGGTTCAGCAACCACAGAAGGGGTCATAACTGAAGCTCCAGCAGCAACAATTCCATTCAAAGCAAAATTCCTTCTATTCAATTCACATTTGCCCCCTTCACACACACACAAAAAAAAAAAGTCTCTTTAATTTGTCAAAAATGTGAATAAACTAATGGAAGTAATGCAGGGTTGAATTGGAAACTTACTGAAATGATTAATTCTTGCAGGCACAGCTAACCTGTTACCTACTGAGTTCAAGCATTCAGTTCTGACAGTGGCACAAGAAGTTGACATTGATTATCTTAGTACAACCTAGAAAGCTCCGAAAAGTTATACTATGTCAGAACCGAATATGGAATATAAAGGGAGCAGAAGATTTTTTTCCTTGTTCCGTGTTTCTTTTCTGTTGAAATTACAAGGAACTTTTTGGATCTGGTTATATGTGGCTGCAACTCGTTTTGAGCTGGTGGTAGTTTAGAGGCCAAGTAATGTAACAGACTAACACTTCTTTTTCCCCCCGGCAGATTTTTCAAATTTATAAGCTTTTTGTAGGAAGCAAAATTGGAATATTTTCAGGTCCAGCTCAGCTGATTCGCCTTGGCCTACTATTTACCAATCAAATATTATTCAGTTTGTTTTTTGACTCTTTAACTTTAAATTATAATTTTTGAAGATTTTTTTTTAAATTAATGGATATTTAATTCCATTTTATTTTGAGAAATGACTAATAAAAAGGGCAGCTCGGTGCACTAAGCTCCCGCTATGCACGGGGGTCCAGGGAAGGGCTGGACCTCAAGGGTCTATTGTACGAAGCATTACCCTGCAAGAGGCTGTTTCCACTGCCTGAACCCGTAACCTCATAGTCATATGACAACAATTTTACCAGTTACGTTAAAGCTCTTCTTCCGAGAAAAGACTAATAATTCATGAAAAACTAATTCAAAAGGGCTACCTTTTTATTAACATCAGGAAATTATGGATGGATGGTTGAAAATGGACCCCTATAGTAGATGTTAATTTACGAAGACCCATCATATGTTATGCTCCAATTTATTTCTAAAAAATAGTGTTTGTTATCCTATGTACTTATAGGTCAGGGTAAATTTGAAGCTCCAAAATGAGTAGCTCAACCTTTTGTTCCATGCCTTTCACTGTGAATGGCAACCTAAAGCTGGTCCAATGGGGAAATGTTATATATTCTTCAAATAAACTGGCTGCATACCAGCCCCTCAAATTAGCCGCTGCACGCAAACTGCTCGATGAAATTGCTAAAAGAACAAGGGGTTCAGTTGCAGATTTACAGATCACTGAATGTGCAGATGGTGGGAATTTTGGAAATTCCAATGCAATTGATGACCTATTTGGAGAGTCTGTGATGGATTGTGTGTGCAATCATATGGATGAGCAATATATAATTGATCAGTTGAGGTACTGTAGCAGTGAAGGAATTCTTGAGCTTGGAGAATTATACCATGCTTTAACAATTAAGACCGGGATTTGGTTCAACAAGTTTGTAGCTACAGCCCTTGTTAATATGTATGCCAAATGTGGTCAAATAGACAACGGTAAGATGATATTTGATAGGATGTCTTGTATTGATGTTGCTTCGTGTAATAGCATGATTTGCGGGTATGTAAGCAATGGAATGTTATCTGAAGCCTTTGCTTTCTTCATCGAGATGTGCTATCTGGATATTGTGCCAAACCACTATACCTACTCGATATTGTTATCTGCTTGTGGGGCTTCTACGGCTGTTAAAGAAGGAAAACAGTTGCATGCTCAAATTGTAAAACTAAAATTTATGGCTCTTACAGCGGTGGTGAATTCAGCTTTGACAATGTACAGCAAATTTGGAATGATTGAGGAGGCCGAGAATTTGTTCCAAGGACTTGCCGAAAGGAACATTATATCTTGGACTGCTTTTATATCTGGACTTTACCATCAAAAAGCCTTCAATAAGGCATTGGCACAATTCTGTTTGATGAGAAAGAACAATCTCGAACCTAATGAATACACCTTTTCTGTGGCCCTTTCTTGTGCAGCTTCTGTACAATATCATGATTACGGTCGCGCACTTCATGCACAGGTAATTAAACATGGAATAATCTCAATGGTATTCGTCGGGACAGCCATCATAGATATGTACTCAAAATGTGCAGAACCTAGTGGTGCTAGAAAACAGCTCGAGGAGATGGGAGGTATGGCATCTTGTGCATCATGGAATGCAGTGATAATTGGCCTAGTTCGCAATGATGAAGTTGCTGCCGCGTTGGAGGTCTTCCATAAGATGCTAAATAATGATATAGCTTGCGATGAATATACATTTTCAGCTACTCTGAAGGCCTGCTCGTTACTACCATCTCTTGCGATCTGCAGGCAGGTGCATTCTCGGGTAGTTAAGGGGAAGTTTGGGACAAACCTGCACGTGGCAAGCTCATTAATAGAAACATATGCACAATGTGGCAATTCAGAAGACGCTGAAAAGGCTTTCTATCTAACATCTACACCAGATGTTGTGACATTTAATGCAATGATTGGAGCTTATTCACAGTATGGTTATCCAACGAAGGCTAAATTCTTGTTTGAAAAGATGGTGGAGAAAAGGATATTACCGACTAGTTTCACTTTCCTAGCTGTTATTTCTGCTTGTAGCCATTGTGGTTCCGTTCAACAAGGGAGAGAGTTCTTTGAGTCTATGACAAGAAATTACGGAATTCTACCTGAAGAGAAACACTATAGCTGCATGGTTGACCTGCTGAGTAGATCAGGGCAGTTAGAGAATGCTCTCGAATTCATAAACAAGTTGCCAAATGAACCCAGTGCTGCAATCTGGAGACCTTTCCTTGCAGGTTGCAGATATCACGGTACCCTTGAAATGGCAGAGTTAGCGGCCAGTAAAATATTAGAGCACGAGCCAGGGGATGCATCAGTTTATGTCACTCTCTCAAACATGTATGTTGAAGCGGGCAAGCTAAGTGATGCACTCAAACAGAGAGCGTTGATGAAGTCTAAGTCAATGCAGAAGGAACCAGGTTGTAGCTGGTTGGAGGTGAATGCAAAGATTCATAGATTCTTTTCTGGTGATAGAAGACATATAGATACACCAAAAGTATATTACAAATTGGAAAACCTGATGCAAAAGATTCAGACTGACTATTACAATTTAGCCAAAACATCATTACTTAATCCAGAAGTAGGACAAGTTACAGAAGAGAAGTGCTTATTTCACAGTGAAAGGTTAGCAGTTTGCTTTGGCCTATTGAACTTACCTAAGGGAACTACTATACGTGTATTCAAGAACATTAGGATCTGCTTGGACTGCCATACGACAATGAAGCATATATCAAAGATCACAAATCGAGATATCATAATAAGAGATAATTACAGATTTCATCATTTTAAGCAAGGCTGTTGTTCTTGTGGGGATTTCTGGTGACGTTTCATCGGAGTAGATCCTTCTTTCATTGTACCTGGGGTACTTCTAATGATTCCCACGTTGGAATCGTCATGAGAATGGAAAACAAGAACTAAAAGAAAGAAAGAAAAATGCAGAGAAAAACAAAGATCAATTTTCATTCAACTTATCCTCTCGAAAGTTCATTACATTTGGTACTTAAAGGAAAAAAGGGAAAAAAAGAAAATGTACAAAAGCTAACTACATGGGTCAGAGTAAAGATTACTATTATTTTCAGGACTAAAGTGTAATTTCGAAAACGTTGCAAATATTCACGAAGCCTCATTCGTAACAGTACTTTGATCAAAGTTTAACAAAAGCTGAATTGGTTGATTGGATATAACCAGAGTTGGGGTCGATAAGACGCAATAGCTACGATGAAGGTATCATAAATAAGTAACCTCAACATTATGGGTTTAATTCTCACAGAAACTTGCTAACTATTAACAACGCAGTAGTTTAAATTGGCATTGCAGTCGCTTAAGAAAGCACCAAGACTATGTCATGGGCAACTTTGTACTTTTCATTCATTTGTTTTTATTCATTACTTTCATAAAATATAGTATAAAGAGAAAAAAAAGACAAAAGCCTTAAAGATGACTTCTTTAGCCTAGTCGGAGACAGGGCTAGGATCTGAACTTTATCGGGTCTGCACCTACAATTGAAATCATATAGTGGGTTTAGTAAATATGTTCGCAATTTAATATTTAAATATATTTAATAAATACAAAATTTAATTAAAAACTAGTGAGATCGTCCGAACTCATACTTAATAGAAATGTCATATATCTTACTTCAATAGCTTAATAATCTACTTTTCGTAGAATTAGATTGTGCTATTCTTTGCCAAGAGATCTAACTTGTGCAGGTTTGGTATGGTAGATATGTTGCTACTTTTGTGTAGTGTTGTGAAAATTATGCATTCTTGGGGTTAAATACCACTGTGAATTGTGATTAAAATTGTCCTCAATGCTATTATGCTAATGTCTACGTTAAATGTATCTGAGAACAGTTGGTGGATCTGTCCTCGTGGACCAGAAAAAATGGTTGGTCTTTTTTGACTAACACCTTAAGGTGACTTCTGAACCAACAATAAAATTTCAAATGCATCATTAAATACTATCCCAAAGGGCAAAGGCCATGCTTTTGTTTGGTTGAAATTAATTCTAGGTTTGATTCTGTTTGGATTAGTGTCCTAAATGAAAATATGTGTTATAAGGTTTTTGCACGAATTTGAAAGAAAAATATTTAATAGCCTTATAAGAGTTTATATAAATTATCTTTTTATCTTTCTCTACACATTTCGTTTAATTAACACTCCATTAATTGAAATATTAAGGATAGATGAAAAAAAGAAAGTAGTAAACAACTTCTTGGTCTTTTCAAATGTCAAAGTATATGAAACAAAATTCAGTTCGCTGAAAACAATAACTCAATATTTGAGATCGTATGAAGTATTTTCAATAGCCTAACTTTCCATAGCATAGAGAACATATCATGTCAATTCTTTTCCTACATTATTTATCAAGGAAATTTAGGCATGTTTAATTATTACAATTGATGTAATATTGTAACTTTAATTGAATTTATATGCAACTTTTATGTTGGAATTTTTTCTCATACTTACTCTCCAATTTGCTGAAATGCACAAAAATATGAATAACTTTAATAATTCTGGGGATTAAAATGAAGTCCCCCAAAAATCCAACTTAAGGGCGTGAAAACATTTTGTGGGTGGGGGTACGTACCTTGAAGCTTGAAACATACGCTGCTGATAATACACATATCTCGTTAAACTGTATCTCTCACATTTGAGGTGTGCTTGTTACACTTTTGGTGGCGGAGGAAACGGCAGTTTTGGTGGTGGCTCTGGCGGTTCCGGCGATGCGGGAATTTCAAAAATACCACAAAATAATGCATAGCTGATCCAGAGAAATAATGATCTGATTTCTTTTTCTTTGCACCAATTTACTCAGGTTTTGCTCCTTCTCCTTATTATTGCTTTGCCAGCTCTAAAAATTGTTCCTTTTTGTCTCCTCGTTGCGCTCGATTTATCTTCTTGGTCCTATGAGATCCCACTTTTTTGTATTTTGGGGGTTCTTTTTTTAATTCATTGTTTATTGTTAAGGAAACTTGCATTTGAATTATTTTTTTCCTGGATTTGAATTAGTATTGTTGTCACAATTGTCGAACTGGGGTTACTTGATTCATAAAGTTTTGATTTTTATTCGTGGATTAAGCAAGAAATGGTGGAAATATTATAAAGTTTTGATTTTTGTGCGTGTATCTGTTTTCATTTTCCACAACCCCCACCCTAACGAGCAGGGGCAAAGATGGAGAAAAAATTGGGTTTAATTCTTTATTAAGACCTATTGCTCATGCAATTTGGGATCCTCATTTTGGTCAACCGGCCGTGGAAGCTTTTACTAGGGGGTGCTCTTGGCCCAGTAAATATCGCTTAGTCTGGTGTTTATCAGTGGTGGTATACAATCGGTTTACGCACTAATGAAGATCTTTATACTGGCGCTCTTTTTCTACTATTTCTTTCTGCCATATCCTTAATAGCAGGTTGGTTACACCTACAACCGAAATGGAAACTGAGTGTTTCCTGGTTCTCTGAATCATCATTTGTCAGGACTCTATTGAGATAATCTTACAATAACAATTTATGTGTTCAATAAGAAAAGTACTAAAAATTATATTTTTTTCTTATATCAATATTTTAAAATATTGATGAAAATACACATAGTTTGCCAATGTGCCAAAAATGATACTACGGGACTAAATTCACCAATTTTGCGGAAATGAACTTTCCCCTTTCCTGTCCAAGACAAACTTTGGACCTTAAACTACCCAACATCTAATTTGTCACTTTGTCCCAAAGCTCGAAGAAAGTAAAGAAGCAGATGGCTATAATAATGGAAGAAGCAAACCAAAAGTCCACCTTATCCCCACCAAATTCCTACACAGCAGTCGTTCTTGGAGGTACTTTTGATCGTTTACATGATGGACACCGCCTTTTTCTTAAGGTTTTCCCATTACCCTTTACCCTTCTTCTTCCAGATAATAAACGAAAAGCTCTTTAAGCGATGGGTTTTTTCCTTTCTTTTGTAGTCAGCAGCTGAATTGGCAAAGGATCGCATTGTTATTGGTGTTTGTGATGGTCCGATGTTGACTAACAAACAGGTGATTCTCATGCTTTATACTCTGAAGGCAGTTTGTTTCTTGATATTGTACTTATTATAGAATCAACCTCACTTTCCTTGAAATTTTGATTTTTTTTTCTTGGGAATACAGTAGCTAATGGCAGTTTTTCCAGATATTTTTTTCCTTATTGGTTGCAACTCTTCAAAATTTTGCTCCATCCATCTAAGGTGAATGACAGGGTTCAAAGTATGAGAGTTAAAAGACTTGACTTTCTTGCAAGATTTAGAAGTAGTGTCACCTAAAATGGGATAGAGGGAGTATGTGAAAAGGATTTCTTATAAACTAGTTTTTTACTTTTATAATTTTCTTACTTGGCAATTGACCTTTATCAAGATTTTAATCAATGACATGTGGAAGCTTTAAAAATTGCTGTTAGAACTTCTTTTAAGGTACACGAATTCAAGCATAGGGTTCTTGTTGGAGGCCACTCATATTTGAGAAGCGAAAAGAGGGCCCATATGCAAAAGAAAAAAAAAGGATCTTTTGTGTACTTGTTGCCTTTTCCCCATTCATGAGAGGCAACATGTATAGTCTAGAATCTTATGAAAAAAAACTGCGCAGTGGTCTTCGTTATGTGGTTCTTTGACATTTCGCAAAATTGAATAGGATAGAGCATGATGTAGGAGATATGGAAATAAATTACTTGGATATCGGGGTAATCTAAAGAAAGTTGGAAATTCTTCATTTCTCTAAAATCTTCAACTTGCAAAATATGGTTTAAAAAATAAATGACCGTAGTTGACTGACCTCCATGTCTTCATCAAAAAAGTTGACTGACCTCCATGTCTTGAGGTTTCATACCAACTGTTTATTGTCCTTCTTTACTAGATTTTAAATTTCAATTTCATGGTCAGTGCAATGCTTAGGATGAATACACAGAATTTGAACATATACAAGTAAGACAACGTGAATGTATTCGCAGAAGAGTTCCTGATGATTCGTCTGATAAATGATAATAATACTAAATGCTGTAATGAGCTAAGTGAGGCAGGTTTTGCACCTTCTTCAATGGGATTGCAACATGTATTTTCATCATGTGTAACTCAATATATTTGTATCCGCATATTTTCTGTTCTTATGATGCTTTTTATAATTCCCATGGTGAAGTTTGGTGTAAGTAGACTTAACACTACTCCACTGTCAATGCTATATAAAAGGGCAGCCCGGTACACTAAGCTCTCACTATGCGCGGGGTCTGAGGAAGGGCTGGACTCTATCGTACGCAGCCTTACCTTGCATTTCTGCAAGAGGCTGTTTCCACGCAGACTGTCAATGCTATATGTTTTCCAATAAATCACATTGCAATCTTGCTGTCCGCTGCGTTAGTGTAACATTTGGTGTATGTCAATGGCAAGTTGATGTTTTCTTCTTCTTCTTCTTCTCTTCTTTTCTTGTTGAGAAATTGGTAGTCCTTCAATTGTTTTCTTGTTGTGAGGATACAAGTATGAAACTACTTATCAATTCTTGGTACTTTTGGAGTAAATACCAGAGGATGCTGTTGGTCGTGGTGTCAAGTTATCCTCTCGATGCAATCTTTAGTTTTGCTAAATGATATTGCATGGAAAAGTTTGATGTTTAGATAAAGCATCCTTTTAGACGATACATTTTTTGGAACATCTCTTCATACTCTCACATTTTGCCCAAATCATGATGGTTGCATCACTAGGTTACCGTCACTGCCTTGGCCAATTATTCTTTATCTACATTTTCATTTATCTAGACAGTAGTACTTACAACAACATACCGGTATTATCCCACACCTGAACAGGAGTACTTATTTAAAAAAAAAAATCCGAACAGTTTAAACTGCTTCCTTGCAAACATTTCTATGGAAGATCTGATGAGCACAGATGTTCAAAATCCGGAGCTTTATTCCATCTTGAATTTTCTGATAAGATCGATTTTGAGTTTGAAGTACAGTTAAACCTTCCTATAACAACCTCGTTTGTTCCGAATATTTTTTGGATGTTATAGCGAAGTGTTGTTATAGAGAACATATATTATAACATAACATGGAAATTGGTTCCGTAAAAGCTTGACTTTTATAGTGAAGTGTTGTTATATAGGGATGCTGTTACAGAGAGATCTGACTATATTATGTTATCTCATGTTTTTAGATTTGCAACTCTGACAACGTTATGTTTCAATTTTTTGCTCTAGTTGTAACCTTTTAGTGTTTTCTTTCCAGCTTAGCTCTTTATGCAGTGCTTACATATTTGTCTTCCTTTTGGCAGTATGCTGATCTAATCGAGCCTATTGAGCTAAGAATGCAGAATGTTGAAGATTACATCAAGGTACTTGAAACTCAAACTTTTATGTTCATTTATTCTTTTAACAACTGGTTTTGCAAATATAGTTGGATTTTGAATGTCATGGGAAGAACCTTCTGCACTGGTCCTGCTGAGCTCTGGTGGGTTTGAGTGGAATATGTCCAATCTTTTGCGTGATGTAAATCTTGCCTAGAGCAACAGTTGCTTCTTCTTTCTAAATGCCTTTGCTTAAAAAGTATGTTTTACAAGAATAGTTGCATAATTAGCTGATGCTTGCGCTTCAGTAGAATACTAGAGTTGGATTTGGAAGCAAACTAGTGCACTATCATCCTTTTTCTACTTACATTGTGATGACGATGACATATTCCTTGGTGCAAACTATTTATCCAGTCTATAAAACCAGAGCTGGTAGTGGAAGCAGAACCAATTGTGGATCCCTATGGTCCCTCAATCATCGATGAAAATTTGGAGGCCATTGTTGTCAGGTGCATAGAGAAATCCTATATCTGCTTTTATTTGTTTAGATCTCTGTCCTTTTTTCACTATTTTATAGCATATATATATATAAAAAATTTATTTTGGCGTGATGGTGATATGAGTTGAGCTTAAAGAAAGAAGCGAGGATTCACTGACCCCAACTTTGTTTGGGACTGAGGCGTAGTTGTTTTTTTTTTTTTTTGGTCTTTTTTTTCCGTTTAGATTTGGAAATCCATTCTCTTATACCCAAAGGCTACTATGGACTGGGCACAATTGTTATCTCTGCATCTCATCACCGAGTTCTTTCTATAGATTATGCATTTACATATTGCTTTTGAGTTTCGTCGCAGCCGTATGAAACCTTTGAATTTTAAAATCTTGAATCTTAAGAACACTGTTCTAGCAGTACTCAAACTTCATAAATACCAAATTTAGTAAAGCATAATTTGGCGGTGCCAGCTCAATAAAAAATACTTTAATGGTAGTTTAAGGTTGGCTAATTAAACTTCTCGTGTGATAGCAAGGAGACATTGCCTGGTGGACTGTCTGTTAATAGGAAGAGGGCTGAAAGAGGCCTCTCACAGCTAAAGGTCTGACTCGTGCCTCTTTAGAACAGATTAAACTCTGTTCGGCTTTCTTATCATTTATTTTGTTTTGTCAACTATGAAATTGTATGTGGAAAATGTTCCGCAGATAGAAGTTGTAGATCTGGTCTCTGAAGAATCAAGTGGAGACAAACTGAGTTCTACTGCTTTGAGAAAGCTTGAAGCTGAGAAGCTCAGGGACCATCATCCAGAAAGCCAGAGCTAACTTTTTCTAGTCTATACACAATATCAAAGGAGTTTCTCTTTGTTTTATTTCAAGTTGTTCTTTTGAGGATGAAAATAATAATCTCTTCAGAATCATACACTGGAGTTGTTCTCACAGTTGTAAATCTATATAATGTTCATTGATACAACTTTCTTTATCCTTTTTCTTATTCCTCGCGTTCTTTCCCACTCGTTTTTCCTCCCTGCCCCTCTCAACCTCTTCATTTTTTTTTCTCTGATTCCCTCTGTCCTTTATATTTATTCAGTTATTTGATTTTGGGAAGAGGAATGGGGATTGAACTACAGTAAATGGATCTTAAACAAGCCAGTTATATGAGTTTTTTTAAAAATCATCTAGTATCTTGTGGACGCAATTAATCCAGATTTACGCCGTGGTTGTCCAATAGGGGGTGAGGGGTAAGTGCTCCCTCCTCAAAGATTATTCGTTATCAAACTCGAGAGCTCAGGTCAAGGATGAAGAGATCACAGTCTTTCCGCCATACTCCTAAATAGTTACCTGATCTTTGATTATATCCCAACCTATGAAGTCTTTACTTATTTTAACTACATTAGAGCTATGAAATGAATAGTTTATCATGTGCAATGGGAACTGAGTTGTTACTTCACCTCACTTTATTTTGGAGGTAAACTACAATAAATTTAAAGGGACAGTCGAATAGTTAAGAGACCGTGATCCTAATCGTAGTGTCATTATATTGAATCAGAGTGATACCACTATGATTCAGTTGCATATTTTTTCTTCTAGAATAACTGTGAATACAGAAAACGAAAAAGAATTTATGTGCGCAAAAGTGGTAAAAGTTATAAAAGACACCAATACACATACAATGTATATAGGTATCAGAAACGAGAGTGAAATGAGAACTTTCTTGTCCTATTTTATTCATCTTGTGTACAACTATTTATACAGAGCAAAATGAATAAAAATCTGTTATGCTCGATACAAGTGTCCTACTACTATTTGTCTACGTGTAATTACCTAATAGAATCCTAAGAAAGAATATAAAAGAATTAATATGTACATATTTTACCTACACAAACCTCTTATAGCAAAGATTAACACCTTATTTATTTTAAATAAATATCATTTAAAAAAAATATATTTTATATATACCTTTTAATGTTTATAGCAAAATATCTAATTTTGGTTACCTCCTACCCATAAGCCACTAAATACGCTATTCAGTTACACTATTTTTTTTTCTCTCTACTTTAATACATGTCATTCTCTTCTCCCATATTTTGGGCTATTCTCCGGCGCCAACGCTCTTGAACTAGACTCTGCCATTCTTCCACCAAATCCCTACTGCTGTTTTTCACAAACCAATTGCCAATATACTCCTCTTTCTTAACATGTTCCCCCCTTTATAGTACAATAACAATAACAATATGCCCAGTAAAATTTCACTAGTGGGGTCTGGGGAGGGTAGGATGTATGCAGACCTTACCCCTACCCCGAAAGGGTAAAAAGGCTGTTTTCGGGAGACCCTCAGCTCAACAGAAGAGATAATAATTTCAGAAAAGAAACGAAAGAAGAGATCTGTAACAACAAAAGAAGCAAGAGGAGTAATAATAATATCTTAAAATACACCAAATAAGTGAAAGGGAGTGCAATAATACAATCATATGCAAAACAACAAACTAGTGTGAACACAACATAGACCGCTACCAGACATAGGCAAAACTCTATCAGACTACCAGGTACAAAGAGAGAGAAACTATGAACTACTCCCTAGCCTATAACCCTAATGCTCGACCTCCACACGTTCCTATCAAGAGTCATGTCCTCGAAAATCTGGAGTCGCGCCATGTCTTGCCTGATCACCTCGCCTCAATTCTTCTTAGGTCGCCCTCTACCTCTTCTCGTACCTGCCAAATCCAACCGCTCGCACCTCCTAACAGGGGAATCTATGGTCCTCCTCCGCACATGTCCAAACCACCTAAGCCTCACTTCTCGCATCTCCTCGCTTCCCCCTTTATAGTAGTAGAAAATTAATTTTCACCAGAAGAAGGCAAAGAAATCTCGATATTATCATCCAAGGGAGACCAGTAACAAGAGATAACAATTGTGGATTCGCCGGAAATTAGGCTTGCCGGAAATTACGGTTTGTTCTTGAACAAAGACGATGGAGTTTGGGGATGAGCAACTTGATTTTCTGTTAATATATTTCAATGTATTTTCAATGTATCACGCTGTATTTCATGTATTTCATTGTCTTTTTTTATTGTAAGTCAATGTATCTCGATGTATTCTATTTATTTCATTGTATTCACTACCTTTTTTTTCATTATATTTCAATGTATCCCGCTGTATTTTATGTATTTCATTGCATTCACTGTCTCGCTATATGCCATGAATGTATTCATATGTTTTTTTTAATTAATATAATTTATGTATTCAAATGTATTATATAATTTCTTTGAAGATTGCCATGTTTTGGGGTATTTTTCGGTTGAGAATCTTTTTTATACAAGGAAATACAAATTTTGTGTGTTATAATTGAGTTTGTTGAGTTATATTAGGAGTCTATTATGTTAATTGATTCACTTTACATTTAAAAATAGTGTAATTCCTGTGAGCACGTGATTTTTGTTTTGCGCGACAATCGCTCCAAAAGAATAAAAAAATAAAAATTGGTCCTGCTGTACAATTTTTGGATTTCTGTACGGCACTTTGTTAATGATTTGTGACTTTTGCCCATTTTTATTTTTTAAAACAAAATACAAAAAATGTGTGTGTCATGCATAATTCGAACCGTAATCCGGTTGTTGAATAGAAAATCATAAATAGGCATCCTCGTCCGTGATTTTTGTTTTGTTTGATTTTACCTGTCTTGAAATATTTTAATGTGTGTGCAAATAATTGTATTAAGTGTGTATTTAATTTTAGTTTGATTTTACTTAGTTTTGTTTTTTTTTAAAAATAAAGAAGAAAAGGAAATAATAAAAAAAGAGCCCTTCCTTTTTCGGACTTGGGCCAATTTTAAACAAATTGGCCCAAACAAATTCAGCCCAAAACCAGGCCTGCCCGGTCCAGTCCAAGCTGACACCAAGGACGTCCAAACGACGTCGTAATGGCTGTGTCTGATCTGAGCCGTTGATCTCCGAATGATCAACGGCCAAGATCACCTCCCCATAACCCACTAATGA